CGAAAATTACGCCCAAATTCTGCATTAAGATGTAAAAAGCCCAAACATTAGGCTGTGAAGCTCATGAAGAAAACTAGGTGTTCTCACTTGGTATTTAAGGAGGGTTTCTAATGTAGTGAAGAAATGTTCATTCAGACTCGCATTTCGGAAGCTGTCAGCATCCTCGAAAAGCTTACTCATGCCGTGTCTACGCTCGGCTTATTCTCCGACAATGAGGAGGTAAGAAACATAGACAGTAATGAGCTTCAATGTATGAAATCTCTCTGTTATTTTGGACGTATTCGTAGTCGGTCGTGCGATTGTAATGGTTGTAGCGATCGTGCAACGCTAGATGATTGTCCACTCCTCGGGCAAAAGATCGATACGCATCGAATGCTGTGCGATCGTTACGAGCGCACGACCGACTATGAATGCGTACTTACTGGTAGTTACACGGGGTGTGGTTCACTAGGACAGAAAGCGACTTTTCGCGTTCGCAGCGCGAAACATTTTTCGCTGCAGGAACCTCAGGTCCACCGCTGATCATGAGTGGACCTGTAGTTCCTGCAGCGAAAAATGTTTCGCGAAACGCGAGCTTTCGTCCTAGTGGGCCATAAATAGCCATCGTCTACATTGTTTTTGTATTTGGATTGAGATGTATTTCTCTTATTTGTTGGCTGTTATATATTGGGGAGGTGGGGGGGGTTGACATTAGTACGACAGCCCTCAGTTACGCATAGTGACCAGTTTAAAATTCACAATCAGGTAGAAGATCTTGCGACTTCTTCCATTCCGTTTCTTCTCATCCCTTGCTACCTTGGTGTCGCTCATCACAATACCACAACAGAGCCTAGCCATCGTGCCGACCAATTGCAACTTGCCAAGGTTGGTTTTGTTTCTGCGAGATATTTATTGGTAGGAGACATCACTTCTCTTGTTCAGGTTTATTACCGCGACTTTCTTGAAGCGGCTACGCAGTTATGGCTTCGAGTTTGAACGCGACTACTTTTTCGTTGAAGGAGGACATGGTAGGTATCTATGAATGCCTTTAATTTATCTAGGGTACCGAACGTTGCCCTAACCGTGAGAGGGGAGTGTGAGGCATTACGACTGAAGGTGATAAAACTTTTTACACTTCAGCATACTCGATGCGGCAGTAATATGCATGATCCTGTAGCGAAAATATCTGCGACACGGCCGAGGCGCCAGGTGCCGTATCATATCTTTCCCCCAAGGGGACGCTTTTCCCACCGCTGATCCTATCCTACGTCTCCAAATATTGCCCTCCTGTTTCAGCTTTTCAAACTTTCTGTTTCAGCTTTTCAAACGAACGCTTGACCCTGGCAATCCCCAATCAAGATCCCCCTCTACATCGTAGTAACAACGTGTAGAAGGCGCGATGCCAACATTCCGTCATGACCGCCTACATCCTTACAAAGTTTGCAAGGTACTGCAAATTTCTTGAAATCAACGTTTGATCCATTTAGAAAGGGCATGAGACGTTTTGCTGTAATTCGACATCGCTTAGGTACTTTTTAAAGGGTTCGCCACAGGTTCCATTATGGAGCGGGCGCTGTGGAGCATTTCGTTCTTCGAGAAGTTGGAGCTCTTTGAACAGCTCCGACAGAGAGCCGCATCTCGTATGCGCTTAATACAAGTGGCTATTATCATAGTGTCCGGCACAATCGTTACTTGGTTTATTGTCTTGACGGAAATTCTGTGAAGTTGCCACGTGTTCAAAATTTTGAGGCCATGTAACACAGTATTGCATATGAATGTTGATTTGTATTGTCTTTCGGTTGGACTCATAAATTTAGAGGAAGGCACCGATGCTTCTCGATCTGGAATAAAGAAATTTACCGGCGAAGAATTGCGAGAACTGGAAAATTGCTAGATATCGAAAGCAGCAGGAATTGAAAAAGACAATGTCTGAGTTGAAGAAGCAGCTGGAGCAGAACAACGGCGACGAGTCACTCTTGGTACTGTATGTTAATGAACTAAATTCTATTTCTTTTTTGTTTTATTAACAGAAGCGCTCGGTTATTGACATTATTCTTTATAGAGAAGTCTCCATTTGGCAGTGGTAAAATATTGGCAAGAAAAAGTTATCGAAGAACTTGAATCGATTGAAGGTTTTTTTTTAGTTTCTTTCCATTATGTTATAGTGAGAGATTGACGAACAATTTTTATAAGGTGTCTTCTGCACTGACGAAAAGGTGTTGTCATGTTGGGCATCATCATTGAAATTTAAATGGTACTTTATTTTCAGACGAGCTTCCTCTCGTAGAAATGATGAAAAAACGTATGCAAGAAAACAGCAATGGATCAGCAACATCAAATCGGCCATTACAGAAAAGTGACACGAAACCAGGTCAGAGGATTATTGATTTACGTGGACGCGGTATATGCTATACATGGTATATTGTGTTCACCTTAACCTCCTTCAGCACCGTTGCGACCCTTCATAATTGCACGAACAGAGCAGC